AGTTGATACCAAGTTCCTGCTAATGGTGTGTTATGAATTAATATTCTTGGTATAAGTGAGAGCACCGAGGCTGCAAAACCTAGGATCTTCAACCAACCTTACCACCTGAGCCAAACCGGTGTGACATCGTGTCATTGATTATAATAATATTTGACTGGCACTAGCCAACAGTTTCGTTATTTCTTGGCTTGATATTTTAATCATTTGTTTTTGCGGGGTAGTTGGAAGTGCTACTTACTGGGGGCAAGTTGGTGAAAATCTCTCTCATATATTCAAATACCTCATATTGTTAATATGCCCATCATTGCAGGTAATTGGAATTGATTTGCTTTCCCAGTCCTTATTGCCTGCAATTGTGGAACTTGCGGAAGATAGGCACTGGAGGGTTCGGCTTGCAATAATAGAATACATACCTTTATTGGCAAGCCAGTTGGGTGTTGGCTTTTTGATGACAAACTTGGTGCACTCTGCATGCAATGGTTAAAAGATAAGGTGCAAAGCCGAGTTTATGAGCTTGTTTCTTTACGATTCTATTTCTCTTTCAGTGTCTCTACTCTCTGACAAGATAGTAGATTACCAATATTAACTCGGAACTTAATATTGTAATATCATTACAAAGAAAATTTGCTAATTTCTCTGACCAAGATAGTAGAGATAACCAATATTAACTCGAATTAATATTGTAATATCATTACAAAAGAAAATTTGCTAATTTTATAGGTTTATTCCATCCGTGATGCTGCTGCTAATAATGTGAAGCGCCTGGCAGAAGAATTTGGTCCAGAGTGGGCATTACAGCACATAGTCCACAGGTCAGTCTGCTTATGCGAACCTTCTCTTTTTAACAAGTCTATACGAGCAAGAGAAAGGGAGATACCTGAAGATGATGCTGGGTTTTGTTGACAGGTTTTGGACATGATAAACAACCCACATTATTTATATCGGATGACCATTCTACATGCGATTTCACTACTTGCCCCTGTTATGGGCGCAGAAATTACTTGTTCAAACCTTCTCCCCGTGGTTATTAATGCTTCAAAAGATAGGTAATGCTGATATAACTTTGATTTGAAACTATTAATCCTAATTCTTCAGATTTTAGTTATGAGACCAAAACTATCACAGGGTACCAAACATCAAATTTAACGTGGCCAAGGTGCTGCAGTCGCTTATCCCTATTGTCGATCAATCTGTAAGTACATTATTTTCGTTTTAATAATTGTCATGTGGCAGAATTTGAGTGTTTATATCATAACTGTCAGGTGGTGGAGAAGACGATCCAACCATGTTAGTTGAGCTGAGCGAGGATCCGGATGTTGATGTCAGGTTTTTCGCTACCAAGCCTACAAAGTGATCAGCTCACCATGATGTCTAGCTAGAACCCTAGATTAATTACATCCCTTTTTTATGTTGACCTTGTGTTTTGTTTTTATTTTTTTCCTTTTGTTAATTGTAATTTTTTAAACCTTTTTAAAACTCAAACTCAGTTGCAATTAGATAATTTTACTCTTCTATCAAACAATCTCATGGTGTTTTTTATTAGATGTCGAGAGAGTTCCAGTATAGGCCTAGTCAGCGGATTCGATATCGAGAGCCTTACAGTATAGAAGGCCTCCCCTAGTCAATGGAAGGGGATCCTGGTCATCAGCAAGTCTCCAATGGCAGTGGGTAGCTTGTGAACGACCGAAGCAGCGGAGGAACAGGCCTTGAAGGTTGTTTGAAGAGATCGGCTTTCTTCTTGTCCGAATGACCAGATTGGTCAAGGAAAATTCTAGTGCTTGTAAAGGAGGACCGAAACACAGCAGAAAACGAGACAAGCGTTCCGATCAATATTCAATAGTGGCAAGATGGGTCTGGGGGCCAAGCGATCGTCTTTCTCCACCACCGTGGGCAACTGAAAAAACTAAACTATATTAGGTTTATAAATGCTAGTAACCGAGTTTTTAATTTTCATTCAATAATAAATAGATTGGAAAAATCTTAATTAGATTACCAAACAAGAAAGTAACATAAAATGATATGATTTCTATAAATAATAATAATTAACATAAAATATAGCTTATTGTAACAAAAAACATAAAATAAGTTTTGTAGACACTCGTTTTGTCCGGTTTATGGGAAATCACTTGCAACCCAAACCAGTTGGAGGCCTAGTTCAAGTCCAAAGATCCAGCAGAGTAACTTCCATTTCACGTGAGAATCCCTTGGAAAATAAAGATGGTTATGAGGAGTTAATAAGCATAAAGTGAAGTGGTGAATAACGGGGTCCATGATCAAGGGAAAAAACGGAAAAATGGAAGTTTTTTATTGGAATTAACCACCAGACACGGGGGAGATATCAGCAGGGAACTGAGAGTAACAAAGGGGGGCTCTCCATTTTTTTTTGTTGGTTTTACTTTTGACAGAAAATAGGAAACTGGAAAAAGAACATTGTTGGATTTAACTTTTTTTTTGGAGATCAAAGGAACAAAATTCATTGGTCTTTTCAAAGAACCAAAGCAATTCCTTCTTCATATCACATCCATTTTTCAGCAAATATAAAACGCAAATCTCAGGAGCATTAATCATCATTCGGAAACCATTCGCGTCGACACCATAAAATCAGATTGGGACAAGGGATTCGACCTTCAATTTTTCGAGAAGCAATACGCAAGAAGAAGGTATTCCATTTTCAATCTTTAATCCTTTTTTAGCTATAGTTTTTTCTCATTTGGAATTAAAAAAATTGGAAGAGATTAGTATTTACCTAAGACAATCGCATTTCTTGTAAAATATCCACAATGCTTAGACGAAACCTTCGTCACCGAGGATTGAAGAAATCTGTGCAGCGAGAAAAGGGATTATCTTATTTTTTTATGCGTGTTTTTAGTAAACGAATAGTTTGAAGAATGAGAGGGGTCCTGGTTTTGTCGAAGAAGAGAGGCAGTGAGAGATGAAGAAGAAAGAGTGAACAGCTGGGGTCTAGCAAATTAACTTAGGTTATATGTTATAATTTAGGATAAATTAGGTCCTAGTCCCCAATTTAGGCGCACTTCTGTTTAACAAATTACTTATTATTATTTTTATTTAGTTAAATAGTAAAGTTTTTGGTTAAATTAGGATTAGTCATTGTAATAGTTTGGGTTAATTAACCTTTTAGTCACTGTATTATTTAGGGTAATTATTCTGGGGTCCTCGAAATTTAGGTGCATTCTTTTAAAGAAGTTTCTTTATTTGTTTTAATTTTCTGATCTTTTTTTCCGAATGTATAGGCATTATTTATGTAATTTTTTTAGCTGAGTTGAATAGGATAAATCTTATATCAGACCCTGTTATTTATGTGTATTTATATTTAGGTCATTGATTTAGTATTTCGTGTTTAGGTCACTGATTCATTCCTGATTTATAAATTTAATTTTATGTACATTTAATTTTAGTCACTACATTTATGTATATATACTTTTTAAAATTTTAGTTTAGCATGTTATGTCTTTGTTTTTATATTTGAGTCATATTTGTAAATTGTATGTTAATAGGCATAGTTTATAATTTGTAATTAAAATATACGTACATAATTTTTGTATATCACATTGTATGTTATTTTTTAATTTTGTTTAATTAATTTTGGATGACATATTTTTGCATAATTCACATGATAGCCTCATTTGCATAACTCGATATCACATAATTAGATTAAGGGTAATATCCTTTTAATTTAAAATTGTTGAAGTGGGCAGTCATAACTGATTTGAGGTCCGCTTTAATGATTTTAAAATAAAAGTGTATCCCGAAAGTGAAACCAAAAAAATTGATTCGTCACCTAAAATTTGGGAACGAGAGAAAAAGAAATGTTCGTTTATTTAAATATATCGAGAAAAGGTTGTTATATCTTTAAGATCTGGTCTCGATATTTGTAAATAATCGAACATTCTTTATCTTTCTAAAACGACTTGGTAATTTTAATTTAATTTGTTCGAGTGTTTTTGAATGTTTTTAAATTTACGTCATTATTTTATGGGATCAAAAATCAAATAAAGTTCGAATTTGTAAAATTCAATGCAAATACGTTAATTAATCGTTTAGGTACCGATTTAGGGCGTTGTGGGGTGCTAATCCTTCCCCATACGTAACCGACTCCCGAATTCATTTTTTGGTAACGCGGACCTCAATTTGTTGTTTTAATTAAAATTAATTTTTATTTAAAATGACAAAACGTTTTTGGGTGTCCAATCACACCCTAATCAAAGATTAGTGGCGACTCTTTGAACCGTATTTTTTCGATCGTAAAGAAATCCAAAATTTTTCGAAACGAGAGATTTTTAAATCGCATTTATTTTAAATTAAAAATCAATGAAATAGGTAAATTAAAAATTAATGTGATTTTTTAAAATATCACTTTTTCACCTTTCTGAAAAAATCGTTCGACAAGTTTATCATTTACGCAAATTGGTTCCGAGTGCTACAATTTGTATTTATTATCCATTTTGATGATTCAGCGGAAGAAATATTCAAAGCTTGTACAGTGGCATGTGGACGCTTTTCCCTCGTGAATTTCATTTTTGGGTAAACTACTCTTTTCATCACTCAACTTTTACTATATTCCTGTTTTGGTCTTTAAACTTATATAGATATTAATTTAACCATTCAACTTTGAATTATTGCATTTTCGGGTGTTAAATAAAAAACAACTGGATAGTGATTGTGATCTAGTGTTACATCAAGACTTTGTCATGATTAATTCGGATCAATATGTGTCGCACATTTAATTTTAGTGACTGACTGTGTCACTTAAACCAACCTGTTAGTAAATAACTAGTATATTAACCGATTTTTATCCGTTCCATTTTTTGATTTTAAAAATGGGCATTTCTCCTTCATCTAAGAAGAGATACGAAGAAGAGCAGCAACACCAACAGCACTAAGACAACTCGGGCAACTGAGTCGGATTGCTCAACTGCTCCAATTCTCAGTCCTAAACGTCGCCGCAATAGTTCGCCCGAGTTCGACTCATTCACAACTGAATCTATGATTCTCATAATAGCAAGACTTGTCACCAGGTACTTTGTTTAGCTTGATTTTTTTAAACCATATTTTTTGTTTAATTGAAAAAAAATTAATGTGTTTAACATTTGGAGTAAAATGATTGCAGTGTAGACAAAAAACCACGGATTTTGCATCACCATGCAAGAGAAAGATCAACGATAAGCAATGTATCATCCATTTTTGTCACAAATGCCTCTTGAACAGGTTTTTTCTGCCATTTCCCATTAAGCTATTTACTTTTTGGAAACATTCTCAGACTTGCTGGATCTTACAAATTCCATTGTTTTTTTTTAAAATTTCTATCAGATATGGAGAAAAGGCTGAGGAGATGGATTTGTTAAGTGATTGGACTTGTCCGAGATGTAGAGGAATTTGCAACTGTAGTTTCTGCATGTGAGCCATGTGTTTATGTAAAATTGATTGCAAATATTTGCTTATTATTTATATTTATTTGGGTAATTAAAATGGGAAAATTTTGATCTTGTAGGAAGAAGCGAGGTCATCACTCATCAGCCTACTGGCATCCTCGTACTGCAGAGAAGGCGAATGGGTTTACCTCAGTCTCAGATATGCTGCATCTTAGGGAATCTGAAAGATCAGGTTCCCAAGAGACCAACGATGCGGCTGTATTGTCCAAAAAAGCAAAAAGCTGCAGATAAGGTTTGATTGGAATTTTTCGTCTGTTTTATTGCCATTTAAATCCTTGGGTATGTTTAGATGTATTTGTTTTCTGAGAGAATGATCATTGAGGATGAATACAAATTCTGTTTAATTAGGGGATTCTACTTATAGATATAGGTTCATTTACTGGTTAAGAACTTTATAAAATGAACGAGTGTTCACTAACATTTTCTAACAGGAATCTGGAATAGAAAAAACTGGCAATAGCGAAAAGGAAAGTAGTTATAAAGGGTCAAACGGTTCAATACAAGCCGATGATAAAAGGGCTGCAACTAGAAATACCAAGTTGAAAAGACTGAGAAGCAGGAATAGTGAGAAAATCGTCCCCGAAGGCAATGATGCTGCTGATTTCTCAACCCAAAGATTAATCCCAGAAAGTGTAAAATTTCCAATGAGGCTTTGTCCGAAGGAGAAGTGATTTCTGACATGAATACTGCCATCCAACTAATTGACATGAAGGTCCCTAAGAAGTGTAATCATCGAGAAGATGAAATGCTAAACAATGCAGACCCCATAGCAATGAACTAGCCAATTAGTAAGTTTCCAAATCCTAAGATGACAAATGTAGAAATAAAAAATGAGGCTTCTGTTGACGATATCATACTGCCTCAAGGCACATTACTAAACTGTATTAATGGCATTGACTTGCCTTCTGAGGATGTCGGCCATGCCTTGTAATTTTTAGAATTTGTGAAGCTTTTGGAGAGGTAAACTTTTTATCTGTTTGTTTAGCATAAATCCTAATTGGTTAAATTATGCTTATTTCCGAGGTTTTTATCTGATTTATTGGTTGATTTTAGGTTCTCAATATGAAGAAAGGACAATCTCAGCAGTTACTTAGCGAGTTATTTATCGGAAAAAGCAAACACAAACAAAATACATTATCCTTTGACTGTGCAGTTTCATATTCAACTGCTTTCCATGATTCAAAAGGATTTGGGAAAAGAGTATGCATGCTTAAATTGCATGGTCATAAACATTCAGTTCCTTCTTTTAATTGGTATATTGATCATCTGAATTAAATCTTTCTGCAGGTATCATTGCCTTAGACAGGATTCGTTGGCTCAAGTTCTTGGAGAATACATCAGTGGTTCTCAAACTCTGATAAAGCAGTTACTGTTGGATTGCTTAGATGTCGATGATGGTAGATATAAGAAATTAAATTCCTCTAAAAAACTCAGGCTCTTAAATTTTCTATGTGACGAAGACCTTGGCATCACGTAAGTCATAAAGTTCTTCGATAAACTCTGGTCACGTTCTTCTTTTTGGATTCTTATGTTAAATGTATTGATGAAAAGTAACACTTCTTTTCTTTTGCTTCAAAAGAAAAGAAAGCAAAAGAAAAACTTCTTACTCGAAGGGAGAGGGTAATGGCATCGATATGACAACTTAGCTCAAGCAAATGCTAGTGTTAATGTTCTCTCTGCTTGTCTGATCGTAATTCTTTGCACGGGAGAGAAACATGGAAAAAGAGATGAAGAAGAAGTTACAGGATGAGATAGCCAAAGCTATTATCATGAAAATGGTGCTATTCTTTCCATTTCAGAGAATGAAGCCCTGATTTCGAGAATAAAGTCGTAAGTTGCCCAAACTCTTCCAAGTACATTGGAAGTGTCCGAGACAATGGATAGGAGGGTATGCTCTGACTTTTTGTAAGCACTTTAGATTTTGCTTTTGCTTTCAAGACATTTTTCTTTGAAGAAATGAAAAGAGCCAATTATCGAGGAAGAATAGACTAATGTTGTTTCTTTCTTAAAGACTGAGAGCCAGAAAGAGTGGAAATTAATTTCGTTCTTTCTGGGTGACGTTGCGAAGTTCTTTGCTTAGTGTTTGTCAATCCATGCTTGTCTAAGCATCCTTTCATGTGAAGCACTTATCATGAGATGCAATTTTAGCAATTGCTGGAGTCTTATCCTTCAATGTTATTGTCATAGAGCACATCATATTGTTCACAGATGGATTCAATGTGGGTCATAGCTATTAGCTTGTTTAGTATTACTTTATTACACAAATAACCAAATCACATTTCTTAATTGATGTTAGCTTGAACTTCTTGCTAATATTTTTATTGTTCTTTTGGATCTCTGATAGAAAATGTAGCACCCCAAACCTGATCCGGACTGTCCAGAGGATTCGTGATGCCACATTGGGCTGCCATAGGGGCCGAACTTCAAAATTTATAGCTTTTCTACTGCAATTAAGAAATATTAGTTTTTGTTTACCATAATTTATACTACTTGAGCATTGCCTTAGTTCTTGTTGTTATTTTGCCCTTAATAGTTGCACAAATGAATCCCTATTTGCATATTTTGACTGCTGACATGATTTACTTCACAAGTGATGCTCAAAGAGGACTGTCGATTAGATGCTGTTCGATCAGAGCCAATATTTCAGGATGACCGTAACAAATTTCACAAATTCTGGAGATTGAGCATCTACTCTGGCGAAGCAGATGTTCTGCTTCAAGGTTTGTCATATACTTGATTATTGAAAATTCGAGTTTTATCCGCATGTCAACTGAACTGCAATTCCATTTTTTTCTGCTAATATACAGATATTGAGGTTGGGGATTCAGTTGCAGCTAAAGAAAGATGGTACACCTACAACACCGAACAGAAAGCTATGGTCGAGAAACATATTTCATCTTTCAGGTATCCGAAGAAAGCTATCGGAGAAATGTATTTCATCGTTCAAGCATTTCTACAGAATTTCATGATTTTCCATTTATTTTGCAGGATGCAAAGGAAATGAGCAAATCTATATGCCTCGTGTAGTATCAAGAAAATACAGTAGTTACTGCATAGGTTTTATCTATCTATATAGCCTCAAAAACTCTTTCAGGAGAGTAAATATTTTGTATACCAATATTGGGGTACAATTTTGCTGTATTTTGGGGTCCTGTATCCATATATTTCTTTTGCTGTTTTGTGGGTCCTGTATCCTATATATTCCGGTGTGTTACTGGAAAAGACTGTTAATTATGAACCCGCTATCTAAAAGAGAGCTGTTAATTAATAGCTTTTAATCATTTATTTTATAGATTATTGACTTTTAATATGAATCATAATTGTTTAACGATTTAAAGATTTAATAGAGATTAATATCATTGAATTGGATAGGAGTCGGACCATAAACACAATGAAGTTTTGTTATCATAGACTTAATATTGTTACAATTTTAAGGACTTAAACTTGAAATTAACTTTGATTAAATTAAAACAATTTCGTCTCAAATGAATCAAGTGATGGTAGGGAGACGGTAATGTTGTAGTCTAATATAAAATTACTATGTATCTTATATACTCTTTTGTTTCAATAGTGTTATCATACTTTGATTTTTAATGGTCATCTTTCATTTTTTCAGTTATTAATTATTTAAAATTGTATTATTGATAATTTTTTAAAAATTTATATTTTAATTTTTTTAATGAAATAATGTATATATTTACAAAATTTAATTAATTAAAATATTTATAATTATTAAGGTCACTTAAAAAATGAACCTAAAATATTAAGACAAAACACCAGTCCCTCTAAATTTATAATTCCCTAAAAAGAATGAAATGAGTGAAAGTTGAACGATGGAATTGAATGTTTTTAAAGTTGATTGATTAGAACATAAATAAAGAAAAAATTAAGTGACACAAACGTAGTTTATCCTAAATACAGAAGCAATAGTATTTTAATCGCCGCCCTCTCCCTCTCTCAAAAACACCAAATTTACATTGCGAGATCCTTCACAGTTTGCCCTAGCCAGGTAAAAAGGAACAGAATAATGTTTTTTTAATTCTTCTCTTTGTGTTCCTCCTATAGTGTGTTTTTATTAAAAAATAAAAACGAGCTGTATGTACTTATGCAAGCTAGATTTTTGTAAAAAAGTAATCTCGCTAGAGCCACTCTTGTAGTTTTGATGAAGCCTTAGAATTCCAATTCTTCGTTTTATTTTCTATTATGAATTACTATGTGGGTTTTTATTCTTTAGTACATTATTCCTTCGAAATTTATTTGTAGCTGAGCCTTTTTTAATTGTTTTAAATCTCAGTTTCTTTGCTCAACTTGTTGAGTGAAAAAAAACATAATTTTGACTAGTTTTGTAATTAGTTTAAAGCCTTGGTAGTTGGGTTTTAGTTAGCTCAGTGTTTATCATTTTTGCTCTTATTTTAATTGGTATTTGTAGGTATAATGTGATGTGTAGTATAGCTTGGTTCTGCTCAATTTTTATGTTGTTTGAAATAATGTGAAATCCTGAGTTAATTGTTTGCTTTTCTCTGCTTGATGTCTTTGAAATTTGTGTTTTTTTTTCTCTACTGTTTATTTTTCAAATTTGAAAAGTTTTGTTATTTTCTCTCATATTTTAATTTTTGTTTTCAATTTTCTTATTTCTGCTCTTCCTTGTAATATGTATTAATTGAGTTTTTTAAACTAAATTTCATTGGCAGATGATTGGAGTTTAAATAAAGGTATGATTCTGGCAGAAATCTCTATTGAACTCTGAAATCAATATGGTTTCTGAAACAGTTCAAGTGAGTTGTGTGACAAATGGGGGGACTGAGAGCAACCAAGGGTTTAAAAGAAAACATTTGGGATCTGATGAGCATGCAGCAGCTTCTTGTCATAATGGCTCTGATGCCAAAGGGGATATAGGAGCATCTGATCGAGATTTGACTGCCAATGTATATGAAGACACACAGCTTGACAATGCTTCTGTAAGCAGCACTCTTAAGGAATTCCTTTAATTTCATTGATATAATTGCTGTGGATGTTGGTTCTTGTTATGTTGCTTCTCAAGTGTTGAATTAGCTCTGAGGTTTGTCTGCAGAAAAAGGTGAGGCTGCCAAAAGAATTGACTTTGCAGGATATGTTCAACAACCATAATGCATTTGATGATGATGAGGAGGATGACAGTGACTGGGAGCCTGTACAAAAGCACATAGAGATTTTGAAGTGGTTTTGTACAAACTGCACTATGGTCAATCTTGATGATGTTTTCCACTGTGATGTAAGTTTTTTTCATTCTTCTTGATACTAATCCACACCCCTTTTAGTATGCTTTGTTTGTAAACCTTCTGTCGTGATTTCTGGAATCTTCAATTCTCTTCACATTTGTTAAAGATTTTTGGCTCTGGATGATTTAGCAATTTCATCTGTGCAGATTTGTGGGGAACATAAAGAATCTGGCATCCTCAAGCATGGGTTTTATGCATCTCCTTTTTCACCAGAGGTAGAACTTATTCAGGTTGAATCAGAAGCCAGACCGAGAGGCAAAGGTAACTACATTCTGCTGAGCCTATTCAATAATATTTTCATGTGTTTCCCTTTGAAGAGGACTCCCTACTTTTTGATGTTTTCTTTTCTTTTCCAGTCTTTTTTTTCAAACTGCTAACCAAAATATTCTGAACTTGATATACAATTCCCAGTCCAGTACCTTTAGTGTTGAGTTCTTGAATCTATTTTCATTTTGGTCAATCAGTTGTAATCATATGCTAAAGCATTGAAAAGGTTGTTGAGGTTGTGCAATTATAGCATACAATATTGTACAGCAAAAATATATTTAATTATATCTATTACATGGTGAACTTGTTTATTTTTCTTAAAGTGCTCCATATGGCTCATTGCAAGGTTCAGTGCTTTGCTTGGCCGTTAACCTTGATTTGCAGAGAAGGGAAGCTATTAACCATTACTCAATAATAACCGTTTGTTATTGAATGACACTACCTTGTCAACTCTTTATCAGTGATAGTTCCTCTTATTATTTCCTTATAATGTTGCTTTTTAATGCTGTTCAAGCTCTTATTGATGCACATAATGTTGACGGTCAAAATTATGGTTATCAAGTTCAAAAACAGGGTGGGATTGTCGCAGAGTGTTGAGCATCTTTATTGGATTTTTTAAATAAAAATAATAGATTTAAGATTTTGATCAAGTTCTGGAGAATTGGAATGATTGCCTAAAGTTTACTTTTTAATTAACTGTATTTAGATGATGTAACTATATAGGGTTCCATTTCAATCGTAATCATATACTGGCATCTGAATCTCTCTACTAAATGGGATTGATAAGTTATTTTCTACTTTTTTATTTGCTTATTTAACATTTACTAATCCATTTAAGTATTTTCTTTTAATGTGAAGCCATCACTATGCGTTATTGCTAACTTGTCTCTAGTTATCACACTTTTAAGTAGTAGAAATGTTCTAATTTTCAGTAATTTAGGTTATTTATGTTGACTTTTACTTCTATATTCTGTTTTTGACCTGAATCCTGAATTTCTTTCTGACATTCAAATCATATTAAGTAATATTTTCAAGAATCAAGTAAGTCCTATCACAATTTTACCATTCCTATATGATCCTGGTCATAGATACTTCTTTGTCAAATGTAAATCATGTTTTGTTTGTACTTACAAGGTGGTAGGCTGATGTTTCCTGATAAAAGTTTGAAATTTAGTATCTGAGATTTCCAGCTCCACGCATCCTTTAATTTTGAGCTCTATAGTTCACATTTCTATTGAATTGTTCCACTCCTCTGCAATCTGAAACTTATAATATTTCCCTTGATAGGCATGGGATTTTTGCGACCCTAATCTGTCTATGCTTCTTGATGCAGATTTTTGGTCAGAGGATTCAGCTTCGAACTGTTCCACGGCAGTTGGGTTTGATGAGAGAATGTTGCTGCACTCGGAGGTATTGCACCATGTTCTATATGCATCCCTAAAATCCTCCACTTGAATGATATTTTTATGGTGGTTTGACACCCATCCATGATAAGATTAATGTATAGAATTTGAATATAAGTATCAATTGTAGGGGAAGTTTTGTAAGTCATATGTAATCTATCTCTTTGCTTGCAAAGCTTTCTGTTGAACTGCTTCTATTTCTTTCTTTAAAGTTTTGACTGGTATTGATACTTTTCTACTCGCATTTTTTGTCAATCTTTGTTTGTTTACTACCGGCTTACAATTATTTCTTTCCTTTCTTCCATTTCTTTTTGTATTTACGCTTGGGGAGTACCATTGGATGGTGTATTTGATTAAGTATTATTGCAATTATAAAAAATTTTGTAACCTCAAATCATGAAAAGAAAGATTCACTTTATTTATTTTATGATAGGAATTGAAGGCCTCGTTAAAAAACCCCTTCTTGATTAAAGGAGCTTGTAGTGAAGCTCTTTAATCAGCGGAAGGAGGAAAAGAGTGCCTTAAGATTTCATTAAACATAAGAAATTACATAAGATACATCCAAAGGGCCTCCCTCAACATAAACAGAAAACCAAAAACAACCGAAAACAACAACACTAACTCAGCCTAATCCATCTTAGCTACAACAACCACCTCTAATTTGGCTGACCAGTTAACCAATCTAACAACACCATTAAAAACTTAAAGCCTAAACTTGGCCCGAAATACAACACAAAACAATACAACTATAAAGGAAGTCAAATATCAACTGACTCATTCCATAGAAGCCAAATTCTAACACAAAAGCCATGAACTTCCACACGATAAGAGTACAAAAAAGCAAGCTTCAAAATCACTCTATCCCCTTTCTACCACTTAATGCTCGTCTTTTCGTCGGAGACCATCCGAACCTCCAACTCCATTATCAATAATCATATGCGAATCACCTGAAACTATTCACTTCATTTTGATTCTTGAATCAACACCATCTCACACTTATACATCCAACAATCCTCCTCAGTTCAAGAAAATAAAACATTTGAGCCCATCCCTCGTATGATAGAAGATAAGATCCTCATCTCGACCTACTTCCTTTGAAAACAACTAAAATTCAATAGATAGGAAACGTACACCTTCCACTTCTTCCATTGCTATAATTTTCAGAAATCAAAACCACTTCTGAGCCTTTAGACAATGTACCCAATTCATTCCCGATCTATACGGTTTCTTTCGCTTCCTTCTTTTATCTCTGCCACCTTGCTTGAAAGTCAAAATCAAATAGGTATCTGCCTTCAAGTTCAGTCAATTCTTCCCCGCGTTGCACCTTCTTCTGATTATTCTTGCCTTGGCAGTGTCTAGTCTTCCTTTGGGGAGCCGAATATTCCTCTTGAATTATTTGGGGAGAGCTATATTTATAGTTCTTCCCCTCCTTTTCTCTCTGGTTCTGCCTGGAATTGTGCGAGAAAAAATATCCCTCAATTCTGATGACAAGCAACGGCTCTGGTCTAAATCCTCACATACTAGCCCCAATTTGGGTTTTCCGTCCACCCGGTCAACCACAACCCCCTCCTATTGGGCTTCCTCACCCTTTGATCTTTTGATAGCACAATTATTTGAAATGCCCATATTAAACACATCCTCTACCACCTTTGACTCTAATCGACCATCCAAAATGGGGAAATCTATTAAATTATCCTTCATTCCCTCATTAGCACGTGCAGTCTCACAAATATTCCTGTTGTCATCTTCTGCCTCTCTCTCCGCATGATCCAACACTTCCTTGTGTTCCACCATTTCCTCGATTTGCACAATATTCCTCAGACCCATAAACATTTCCTCCCCTATGTTCCTTTCCTCCTCGTCCTCACCCGACAAGTTGCTGCCTCTAGTTTTGTTCCCCATGCAACATAATTGACTGTCTTCTTCCTCAGAACACCTCTCGGAATTCTTCTCCTCCGATGAGTCCACGCTTCTTCCTTCCGATGATTCAGAAACGACTACAACCGCACCTTTTCTTCCCGCTTACGAAACAATGAATCACTTCTAATTGAGGGAAATTCCACTACTCTAATTCTAAATATATCTCTCCCTGCTTCCAAGACTACCACTTCATCAATTAATTCTTTCCTACTAGTTGCTATCAAAATAGACATCTCCTCGCAGCCCAAATCTTGAAGTGCGTTTTCTCCCAGCGCTAAGCATTCACCCCAATGTTGTGCTATCATCTTAAAGGTACTATGGTTCCAGCAGTGAAGCGGCATTCCAAACAGTTTAATCCATGTTACTCTTTCCGACGCTCTGTATGATTTTGACCAAGGTTGAACTTCCTGAAAAACTTCATTTAAAAACTACCAGTTCTGCTCCTTCAAGATTCTGTATGACTCTTCATCATCTATTTGCAATAAGAAATCTCTCCCTCCCAGGAACTTGGTCTTAATTGCTCCTAGACCTCCTGCTTGTAATCTGTCTTCTACCTGACTCAAAGAGCAAAACGACGCCATCGTTCCTACGAAGCACTTGTGGAGCTTTCGAACAACTTCCTCATCTACATCCCCCTGTATTAGCCTAGTCCTCCTTCCTGCTAGTTCCTCCGGACTATCTCCACTAACACTTTTTCCTTGATCTACCCTGATTGTAGCATTGGAAGTTGATGGATAATTCAGTTTCCAGTTTTGATTCTTAGCTGCATACCGAGCTTCATTGACTGATAATCGATATCCAAATAACCAGAATCCATTTAATCTTTGGACTGCTCTAATTGTGTCATCTCTATTGGAAAATCTAACAAACCCAAAGCGCTTTCCTGTTCTATCATTTTTCCTTGCTATATAAGAACTAATCACATCTCCATGCCTCCCGAATAGTTGACTCAACCTACTTGAATGATATCTAGGTGGAATGTTTTGCACGAACAAAGTTACTATCTCGCCTTCCTTCCCTGAGCTTTGAGCCATCCGTCCTAAAACCTTACTATAATTCCCAGTCAATACCATTGCCACTGGACTGGAGTTGATACCCAGAAAATAAACTTAAAGAAGCATCCTAAAGAAATAAATTTTTTGAAAACGCCTATTTTTTAGAGAGAAGCTGGAGCTTCTCTCACTACTTGAATTACCGATAGTACATACATGACCAAGAAAGATTCACTTTATTGACAGAACTAAAATAATTAATTTCTTGTTTCTGCCAGATCAACTGTATGATGAGTCTGGTTGCTGCTCATATTTTGTTACTTATGTGGGATTTGTGTGTAACTCTTTCTGCGCTCGTCTTTGGTATTTGCTTGCTTGGTAGTGTAGATTGAAATGAAGTCACATCCACATCCAGAAAGACCAAATCGTCTTCTAGCTATTGCTGCTAGCCTTGCTGCTGCTGGTATTTTGGTCTTATGTTTCTTTTGTTTTTTTGGGTATGAAACTCATATTTTCAGGCTTTTGATTTTTCTGTCATAATTAAATGGCAATTTTTAACATGTACAGGTATATTTCCTGGAAAGTGCTGCCCAATTCCTGCTAGAGAAATCACTCCAGAGGAGCTTCAAATGGTAAGGGCCATTCTTTATTTTGGAGTGATATGGCTCCATCAGTTCTATCATTTTACTTTAGCCTGGTATAAGTAGTTATTTTGTTTAATTTGCTTCTTTCCGTTGTCTTTTTATTTGTTTACATATTGACTAAAAGGGCTGTCTTTAAGGCTTATTTGTTTTTATGTTTTGGAATCCTTAGGTCCATTCATCGGAGCATATTGCAGCTGTTGACCTTACCGCCCAAATGTTTTCTAGGTATATCATCTGTCCTTTCCTGCTCCAAATGTATTCACATGTAGAACTTTGATGCACTCATACCGTCTTTGGGGGATAAAGAAAGAGCTCTTTTTGTTCTTTCTTCTATTATCCTTCTTTTATGGGTGGCTTGAGAGCATGTGCTTGACTAGGAATGTGTGTGTGGGAGGGTGTCAGTGTATGTGTTGTTTGTTAAACTCTAGTAGGCTTTATTTCAATTCTCTTGAGTGATGCTAAAATGAAACACAACCTTTATTGTTGGGTTACTTTTTGCTGGCAGTTATTTTACTCCTGACACATATGCAAATAAGCATTCAGCACAAGCTGCTAGACTTGCAGCTGGTTTATGTGCTGATCTTGCTTCAGTGATAGTTTCTGGACACGTAAAAAATGGGTTTGCTCTGGTATGTATGAGTTATAATATTCTGTTTAATATGTTCAATGCATGTTGCCAACCTATACCGAACTCACAATGCAATGACTGCTCATCTGCCTTTATCTTCATTTTACTTCTGAGTCAGGTTCGACCTCCTGGCCATCATGCTGGTGTTAGACAAGTGATGGGATTCTGCCTCCACAACAATGCAGCAGTTGCTGCATTAGCAGCACAGGCTGCAGGGGCAAAGAAGGTGCTAATCGTTGATTGGGTAAGTTCAATTCTCTTGATACTTGACTTCTTTGTAGAGGGAGATTTGGATTATTTTGAATTTAAGGGAAATCGAGTGTAGGGGCATCAAAATTTTGAGTTAATGGTTCTCTTTTATTATTTCAGGATGTTCATCATGGAAATGGTACGCAAGAGATATTCGACCAAAATAAATCGGTGAGCTTTCTTGATCGTAAAGTTATGCTTGCGACACATGGATTAACTCTTTAACGCAATTGATTTTTGATAATATCATTTGCTGGAGGAGGTAGGATTGTATTGGCTATATTGTTTTTTTTTAATTGGAATTCAGCAATTAAAAACTGCTGAACCTCGGGCTACTAGGATTTAAAACGAAATTTGTTATTTTGACCCGAGTTTTATGGTAAGAACTAAAAGGCATATATGAGGCTGCACTAACCAGCCAAATCCTTGCTTTTCTTCTTTTTGTTATGGTCTCGTATGCGTATCTTGCACCTTTTTTGGGGGTGTATCCTAACAATATCTTGTACTTTGTAGGTATTGTACATATCCCTACATAGACATGAAGGAGGAAAGTTCTATCCTGGTACCGGGGCAGCTTTAGAGGTACTTGATTATTTAGTTAAATAAAATTCAGCAGTTTATAAGTTTTTCTTTGCTATATATTTATTTGGAATCTAATATCTCCCCTTGAAATAATCCAGAGAAGGGAGATATTGACAGTAATAAAGATGGGTTAATATTATAATCTTGATACTTATTATGCCCTTGGGACTCTTGGGAGCTGGTCGATGTGATTTTTAGAGTAAATATTTGTAATATTAGATAATTATACAATTCCATTTCTATTTAGGCTCTATTGTTTTTTTCATCTGCATCTGATGCTTATGTTATTTCCTTAAATGAGAATCAGCCATAAAGTTAGATCTTAAATTGAGCATTTTAGCCATTCATTTATGTATCTTTGGTAAATGATGCTCCTTTTATTCCGATTTAATTTTGTTAGGTTGGTAGCAAGGGTGCAGAGGGATATTGTGTGAATATCCCATGGAGTCGTGGCGGAGTTGGAGATAATGATTATGTTTTTGCATTTCAACATGTTGTGCTTCCTATAGGTTGTTATTTCTTATTCTGAGATACCTTTGCATTTCAACTATCATTTGCAAGATGAATATGGGATAAGATGAACACTCGAAACTGCTTGGACCTCTAAACTGCTAGAAACTTGAAAACCCAAACTCAAAACCAGCTGAATACTTGGAATCTTATATAAATCTGAAAATGGCTTGAACTTATTTCAAATTAAAGGGTCTCAAATTCAAAATGTTTTGAACCCAAAATAGCCTAAACCTGACATGACCAAACCCAAGCCTACCCTATTCAAAATTTCAATTAAAAATTTTTTTGGATACTTTTTTTGCTATAGTATTTAATCCTGTTTGTATCATTGGCATTCATCTTAGATACTTTTACACTTACATAACGTCGTAGTGATCATTTTGTAATAGTTAAATAAATTTAATTACCATTTTGTAATTTTGAAAGCTTAGTGACGAAAATGATCATTTGAGCGTTGTTCAGTGACCTATAGTGTACTTTATCCTATTTCTTATTGCTTGAATATGAGGAATGTGCATGTAATCTCTTTTTGCATGCTGTTAGCTGAGAGGTTTCCTTTTTTTTTTGCATTTGTGTCTTTAATCCCTTTTTATAAACTATTCTTAGTATCCTATTTCTATATTGGTATATTGTGTTCTTGACCATCACCTATTAATCATACAACTGCATCCGTTGATAATCTGACTTACTGCTCTAATCCGATTAATGTTTTTTCAAACCCCTAATTGCAGCTTCCAAGTTTGCTCCTGACTTTACTATCATATCAGCTGGATTTGATGCTGCTCGTGGTGATCCTTTAGGATGCTGTGATGTAAGTTTGCTTCCATAACGCATAAAATGTGTTTTCATTTTGTTCTGATTTAATATATAGAACTTAAAGGCCAAAAAAGATCTAGAACTTTACTGACAAAAGGAAAAAATCAAGAGAGCCTTTTAGAAAATTGTTATTACCTCAAATCCTCACCATCAACAATAACCTCAAAATAAGAAAATTTCGTAAACAACGTAGAGGAAGAATGAAAGGTTCATACCTTAACGAGGTAATCACATTTGTTTCAGTAGATATCCTGTTCTAGTGCTTTAACCTGCTTGAATTACTAGTGGTATACTATTATGGAAACAATTGTGTTGCTGTATTTAGAGGCCACATCTGCTCATGCATATGTGTCCCGGTTTTGCTATTTCCTAAATATTATTAATTCATCAAACGGAGTAAATGCATGTTTTGGTTCATTTCATGAGTATTTTAGAATGTTAATTTTATAAAATTGAGTTTGTCCTTTATGTTCCTTGTGTTGCATAATAACAGTCGCTTTGTCATTGTAGGTGACTCCTGCTGGTTATGCACAGATGACACACATGTTGAGTACCCTCTCTGGTGGAAAGTTGCTTGTTATACTCGAGGGCGGGTTTGTGGTTTATTCTCTGCTGTTTGGTACGGTCAAGATTATCGTTTAATTAAAGCTTCTCATCAACTTTTTCATTATGGCAGCTACAACCTCCGTTCAATATCATCTTCTGCTACTTCGGTGATTAAGGTAAATAGACACAATAATATAGATCAACTTAAGATGCGTCATTAATCTTGTAAGAGCGAACTAAATGTAAAATTACAAAGCCATGTAGTAAATCCTTTGGTCAGCAGGACATGTAGTCGGTTTGTATATGCGTTTGTACACTTTGTGTGTATACATAGTTGGACACATGTATATTGCATTAATTCGGTTCTGCCATATTCATTTTTATAGAGCTAAAACCCATGTCGTATAATGCAATATATTCTGACATGCTCCTTTTTGCTTCATATGGAATAGGTACTTTTGGGTGAAAGTCATGAGTGTGAACTAGAGAACTTGGTTCCTTCTAAAGCCGGCCTGCATACTGTGCTGGAAGTCCTGAAGATTCAGATGAATTACTGGCCGAATCTAAGTTCAAGCTTTGAAGAACTGCAGTCTCAGTATGGGATGTATTCTGTCGACAACAAAAGTAAGGAACTGTTTTCAAGCTTCTCTCGGAGTCTAACCGTTGATATATAGTTTGTTGTTGATATAGGGTTTCTTTTGCGTTGTCGGGAACTCAAACTTACTGTGTGGTTTCTTATTATTTTCCTTGAATTTGCTCGTTTTGTTTTCAGGAAAACGAGTTAAAAAGAGACGGGTGTTGGAGCCGCCGATATGGTGGAGGTGGGGTAGAAAACGACTGCTGTACCATATCCTTACAGGAGGACAGTTTCATCCAAAATGAAAGCATCCGATCCCTCTTTTCCATGGTGTAATTGTGTCCATTATCATCTCGGATATCATAACAGATGCTCTAATTCTGTTTTATTTAATTTCAATATGATCTTTGACGAGCGTTTCACTGGACTTTATGGCACAGTCGAAAGTGTATGCTTACTGTTAGCTTTTAAAATTGTTTTATGATTCCAATGATTAACTTCTATTTTGTATGGATATCTAACCTTGGTAATCTAAATCATTTATGCATCCGAAAATTCGTCATAAATTAATTAATTCATGTTATGTTCTATGTATTTTATAAAAATTGATATGTTCCAACTGTTCGTAAGAACATAAACCGGGATCTCATATTTGATCCTTCAACTTCAACAATTAATACAATAATGGTTCAAAGTTTATGAATAATTAGATCAACATCTGGTGATGACAATAATTAGTAATGGTCTAATTTTCAATTTTATCCTTGGAGTTTATGAAAGATAATAAGTTGATCATTTTACTTAATTTACCAAAACTGCATATTTTGTTCCTTCAACTTCAACCATTAATATGCAACAACATTGTAAAAATTAATCATTTAAGTTTATGGGTTTATGAACAATAACATCTTATTTTTTATGAAGTATGAGGATCAAATTTTAATAAATCGAAGTAGAGAGGCTAACGTCTCAATTTCCACAAAGTTTAACATTAGTACCCAATTCAACGAGCTCTTAGTTTTAGTAAAGTATACCCTATAGTCTTTTTTAAAAGTAGAAGGATGAAATTTAGAATTTAACATAATAATAAAAGATTAAAACAAAGAAGGTTGTATTACGTACGTCTACAATAAATTCCGTTCTCAGGAGTACTTTAATCTCCTCACAAGTGTAATTCAATTCCTTGGTTTCGTCTCTCTCTTACGACAGTGACAGTTCTTGTATTATAGCATAGTGTTCATCATCTCTGCTGTCTTTCCCATGCTGTAGTCGTCCTTGCTTTGTTAAGTAGCTCTATAAGGTGGGGCAAAACCAAAAACAATAATCGAAGCACGAATAAACACCGAGTTTTAGCTTGCAAATCATGGATTTTTCTTCAAAGGAAACACCATGATTAGATTTCTTTTATTTAGAGATGAAAAAGGTGCATAATAATTCATGTTTGTCATTCTCAAGTTTCATCGTCGTCGTCCCACCACCATCTAGCTCTTTAGGGTTTAGGGTTGTTTGATTGTTTCCAGTTTCTCTTCAAAATGTATCCTTCACACAGCAATGGCTGCTGTAGTGACCCAATGGCTCATAGCGACCATTCATGTCTTCTCCACGCACACGTCGCAACAGATCCCTCACTTCCCTTCTTCAATTTCCCCTCTCCTTATTACAACCAATGTGAGTTACAAGTACCGCAAGCCCATGATGTTTTCCTCCAACACGACCGTGATCTGTTACTTCATAACCAGACCTTGATGGAGGCTGATTCTGTCTCGGCCGGCACCATCATTAACGTGCCTGGTTCCTGCAAGAACGAGGAGTACTACTCGGGCATAGACTGCAGTACCAAAAAGAGCCACGATGTGACTCAAGTGGTGGTGCAGGAGCAGACACCCAGGAAGAGATCGTCGTCTTCCAAGGGAGATCGACACAGCAAGATTAACACGGCGAACGGACCGAGAGACCGGAGAATGAGGCTGTCGCTGGATGTTGCAAGGGAGTTCTTCGGCCTGCAAGACATGTTGGGCTACGACAAGGCTAGCAGAACAGTCGAATGGTTGCTGATACGGGCGAGGGAAGAAATAAAGAAGCTAGCGGGAACCCCTGTTTCGAAGACGAACAACAGCGTCGCGGCTGCCGTGAAGAGCCCGTCTTCAACGTCGGAGGGTGAGCTTGTATCCACGGCGGAACCTAATGCAATAGAGAAAAGGGTTAAACAACAAACTAAAACCACTTTCAATCCTCTTGCAAGAGATTTGAGGTACAAGGCGAGGGCGAGGGCGAGGGCAAAGGAGAGAACAAAAGCAAAGAAGACGTGGACTCAAAATCAACGGGGTTCCCTTGAAAGTGCCGGTGAAGAATCCGGCAACACTCAACAGGACGCCGTAGCCGAGGTTGAAGAACTCGGCTCTCGAGACATCAAGCACTTAAGCATTCACGAAGATATGATTGATGAATCTTCGGCACTTATTAATAAATGGAGCCCCAATTCGATGCTCAATTGTCTACAAAACTCTGGAATTGACCATGAGGTAAAGTCCCCTTAGCAAAGTTTCTTTATTTTCGTAGCAACAAAACCTAACTATAACGAAAGGACCTTAATATATATGTTTGTTTGCAGCATCAACTCACAGGCTTTCTGTCATTTGGCAAACCATGGGAGACCTACAACAATAACAATCTATGAAAACGTGGTTTTCGAGGGGGCATTGGATAATGTTTAGAGGCATCATGCACTATATATTGTGCTTACTTCTCTATGGTATGTAATATGCACGGTATGAACAAGCTTTTCATTTTTGGGATTTTGCTGTGAGCTGATCTTTTAATTGTCAATGATGTTATGATTTCCCTTGTTTACTTCATATACAGTATCCTAATTAGAACAATTAAGTGGACGGTTTAAAACAATTCGATGCATTAATGTTAATATGATCGTATCTCGACACGTTTTCATGCTATTGTTATTCTTTTCAACCATTTGTGTAAATTTTCCTCTGTTATCTTAGAAACCTAGGAGGATGAGGATGTGTTTCAGTATACCAATCATTTTGATTTATTAGTATTTCACACTACTAGATATATACCTTAAAAGGTGCACAAGCAAGACAATATAGAGAGTAGAAATGATAGGGTTTATTTCATTTATGATAGAATATGATTTACACATTTCATATGGTGGAGCATAAACAATTGCATGACATGACAACAAACTACCCTTTCAATGACAATAGTTCATGTAGGTTTCAATATGTTAGCACAATGTTTGAGATTAATTGTATCTTACCATTGCATGTTGGTTTTTCTGCCATCCCATATCAACATTCATTCACATAAATTTAACCAAGTTAATTACCTATATTGATGGCTTGTGTTCTTGGTTCTTGGAAGTTTTCCACCTGTAAGCTATGGAATATTTCAATGTTTCTTCTAACTTGCAGGCAGTTTTCAGCTACATTTAGCATCTAACCAGCCATTTTTGTCTGCTTAAGCTAAGAAATGTGATAGTCTTTATCTAATATTTTTATTCACGCATAACGCGAGAGTAACATGTTATAGTTATAAATATATTAGGTTTGTTTTTTATATAATATAGAAAAGGTGTAGATTAATTGAATTCACATTTCTGTTGAGAAATGATAATGAATATCACATAATTTATATAATTTTTTTATATTTTTTTTTAATTAAACGATATTATAACAGATTAGTTTTAACTATCACATCACCTCATAATAAGATAAGAGAACCTATCTCATCATGACGTCAAACTACCTAATTCAATCTCATCATTCTACTTATTCATAATTAATTTATCCTCATCCATCACATGATATCTCAAAATAAAAAAACTTAACTCTCCTATCTCCGGATCATAATCCAACCAACTTATTTAACGGCTCTTCGTGTTGTATCAAACGAGATGAACTGCGACTATCCACCCATCCCAATCATATATCAACAAATCTCATAAGACTAGGCACTGCAATATTGTATCCTAGCAAGTCTCAAGGCACTTCAGTAAAGAAAGTTTAGGTTCACACCACAAGTATGGAAATCAACACATCCTCTACTAAACTAAATCGAATGTTAACTCTTATAGAGAGATACGAGTATTTAATGGATTAAATTAAATGAGCAAAAACCGAATTGTCTGGTTTGCAACATATGCCCTATGTAGCTGAGGAAGTGAGAAGAGACACGAAATGGGATAATAGGATTGATTGAGTGGTGGATGTAGGCATGTGAAGTAAATAAGTGTCTGACTGGAAACAGAAAAGGAAAAACAGGATACAGTACTTTGACGCCAAACTCTTTTGACCCTTTCTTTACTTGCATCTCTCCTTTTAAGTGAACGCAGTTAAACCCCTCCATTAAAGCATCTGCCCTTGTCCTCAAAGTCCCACCCTTTTCTCTCTGGACCACTCCCACTAAGTTCTCTCTCTCTCAAGCAGAAAAAATGACTTTCCCCCAATGCTGCCAAACCCTAGTTCACAGAGATATGAAGAGGAAACCCTAAAGCCGTCAAAGCCTAAAACTACGGTTTACCAATTCTCTCAACCCTAAGTTTTTGTGGTGCCATCTTTTTCGAAGGTTGATTTTGGATCAAGATTAACCTAAATTATTCTGGGTGTTGTGAGAGATCCATCAGCAGCAACCCCAGAGAGAGACCCCAAAACCTAGAACGTGGGATTGAAACTATGGATCATCAGGGAGCACTACTTGTGAAACCCTAAAAGTCCATGGGATTTGATGGGCGGGGGTTAAAAGCTTTCAAGTTCCATCATCAATGGAAGAAGAAAATATATACTAAAACTCCGTATGGCAATTGTTAGTGGCGAAGAACAATTTATATAGGACGAGTTACTACTCAGACCATTCAAAGGACATTGGGATCACTGGTGAGACATTCAAATCTTATAGTTATAATGAATACTAGATTTTGTCATAGGGATACATTTTTTATATAATTTTTTTAATTTATTTAACCATAATGGTAGAGATAAGCATAAGACATGTCGATTTTTTAGTCGTCCTGATTCTAATTTAAAAATTATAAGCTTCCATCTCACTCTGACCTGTCCCAACATTTGGTAATGTTCCACCTGCCCTGAACTTGTTTATTTTTTATTCAACAGGATATGAATATATATATATATAAAAGCATTATAGTAATTATCTTTAAATATATATAGAAAATTTATAGTAAATATCTCGGGTTAAGTTGGGATTTTTATCCTATAACCTGATCTCGACTCTTTCCTTCATAGAATTCACACAATTCATCTCGAACCTAATTTAAAAAAATCATTATAACAATATTAATTATTATTTAAAAATAAAATATTAATGTCATTTTTTAAAATGAATTCATATACGATTAATTATGACATTAACTTACTCATAGCATTATAAATAATATAGTTAATATTCAATCACTTGAATTAATCTATATCAACTTTTATTAATACCTTAGAAGAATGGAATTAACTAAAACATTATTAAAACATTAACATAAGAAGTTCAACTACAAGCACACCTTGTTCATACCAAAACACACACCTAAAGAGATGAATGTCACAGCAAAAACAATTAGTCATAAAACTCTAATTAGCACCAATGTGCAGCTGCATTGAGACATAATTAACTCGTTACCCTAAACATAGTAAAATATGTGAACTCGGGAATCATCCACACCAAACATTTAGCTATGCCATGTGTTTTTGGTCTTGTCTTCAACCAAACTACCTTGTGCAACATCAATTAACGCATTCTCATTATGTTTTGCAAAAGGTTCTCTCTCATTTTCTTTTTCGCACAGCAGATATAATTTTGTTAATATAAGTAAAATTAGTCAAATGTCAAAAGGTTGTCGGTCAAATGAAAGATAAACATAAAATCAAGTACCGAATTACACTTGAAAATGAAAGACAAAAGAGACAAGACATCTTGAACACACTACCATAGCACACTGACCTAAAAACATCGCTAAGGGTTCTCTCTCATTTTATCCTATGTCTTGACTAAATCTCCTGGTTTTTCTACACACCCATCGTGGCATTTGAATCCTGGCCACAATTACCCTTTGTATATGTCACTTCATGTTGACTCAACACTCTGTACCATATAGCAAATTCATGTTAGAGATGGAAAAGTTGGCTTGGGAGGAAGGCGGTGACAAAGGTTTTACCCAGTGAAACTGATGTTAGATTGGTAATCAACCCATGTTTGATAATCAGGGGACTGAGCGAAGTAGAATCAAACACTAAGAAATATTAAATTGTTTAATTTTGAAAAAATAAGGATCTATTGAGTATTTTAATCAAAGAAAAAGTCTTAATTTGTGAAAGTGTTGATTACCTTGACAAAGCCACTTTATCTGCCATTTCCGTAGTTTTTTTCTTGCAGCTACCCCAGTTTTAAACTAGAACATGAAATAGATCATATCACCATCATCTTTTTTTTAAACCAAACTGCCGCCATCATCATCATTCAGGAAATGGGACAAAATTACAGGCAATATTGTTTGTTAACGACGATACACTGATTTTCTTACATAAGTATAGAGCATGCGTGCAAAAACAAACAAACAATAACAATAATGTTAAAACTCCACAACATCTACCTTAAAAACAGCCCCAAACATAAGAAAGGGCACCCAGGTTGCAGCAGCTGGAAGAAAGATGGGTTTATACCGACAGAGAAGAAGAACATAAATTTTAAATATTTAATAGCTGTTGAATTTGATAAGGACGGAGACAAGAGGTAGGGTGTTGCAGATATAAATTTTATAGATTATTTACAACTACTACACAAAAAAGACAAGGAAGTAGTAACGCAACAGGTAGCTATGTCTGTAAGGCTGTAAAATTTTTATTTATGATAGTTTATTGCTTTCTAGTTGTCTAAGCTTCTTAGGCTCAACTAGGAGCTTTTGCTTGCCCATTTTGCTAGAGAGGACAGCTGCTGCTTCTGCATTTTGTTTTTCTCTTCTCAACTACTTTCATCTTTTCATGCTCTTTTCCGTAGAGACCTTTTACCATCCCAGTATTTGAGAGAGATAATACACAATATAAAATTCATTAGTTTTGTACAGATTTATGATCGTTGGATGAGTTAAATAGATGATTGAGATTGATTCTTATTTTTTTCTAGTAAATATTTTCTCATTTAATACTGTTAATTTCATCCATCTATTTACACTCTTCTAACAGTACTAAATCTATATAAAATTAAAAGAATTTTACATTGTATAACATGATCATATCCCATATATATATATATATATATATATATATATATATATATATATATATATAAGAATAAATTGACTCAGCTTGAAATCATCCAATATGAATAGTATGAACAAAAATGTTTGAGCTTTGGTATGTAAATGTCAGTTATAAGGGGGAAGTAAGAAAAAAATTTGGGTCAACATTGAATCGCAATTTTTTATTGGTGTTGAAATGTAATTTTATAAATTTTGAAGGACTAAATCAAAATTTTATAATTTTAGAAAATAGTGAAAATGTTATTTTACCATATATTAACTCATGATTTTATGCATTTTAAATAGGCTTTTACCATGTTAGGGGCTAGCTTCACTGCGATCAACTATAATACTCTTTTGGATCGAATCATGTTGTAAAAGTAAACACAACAACTTTACCATTTTTTTCTTGGACTGATTAAGCCATTCAAGAACCTAATTTATTATTAACGTCAACTGAAACTTTGATCTCAAGTCGTGTTATAAAATAACGACGAATAAACAACTACAAAACAATAAGAAATAAAGATATAAACACACAAATCTATATAAAAAAACTTTAAAACAAAAAAATTATGAATAAAAGAGAAAATCTTATTATCTATATATAAAGTTAATTACTTAATGATATATATATTATTAAGAGTATTCTTTAATATTAACTCTCACTTCTAATAAAAAAAATAATAGCATAAATCGTATACGAAGGATTTAGTGGCGGAACCACATGGGGGCGGAAGGAATACATGGTTCATCTCAACTTTTATGGTTTAATTGTATTTTAAGTCCTTGAAAATTTTGAAACCATTTAAATTAATTCTCGACTCCTACCAAATTTTTTTTGTTTAATTATTTTTTAAGACATTATCAATTTTAAAATTAAATAGAATTAAGTTTTCCCCTAACTTTTCTGGTTTAATTACTTTTTAGGACATGATAGTTTTAAAATCAGTGAAATTAAATCTCAATCCTCTATTTTTTTGTGGTTTAGTTATTTTTTAGAACCGTGTTAGTTTCAAAGATAAGCAACTTGGCCCATTCCATAATTTCATCCTAGTTTTGCCCTTGAAAGGATTGGAGGATACGAACAGTAAGGGGGTTAAGCGCCTACTTGAGCAAGTAGCGGCAATGAATGGTGTTTCTCCCATGGTCTCATGCATCATTGAGTTGCTCGGAATAGATTGAAGGTTGAGGTTTAACTATGTTCCTCAAGAATGTAATGAGGTTGCGGAAGGTATATGCCTAAGTTGACGCGGAATTTACCGTTCGGTGTTGAAGCTCTCCGGACGCCTCCTGCGGAAGTTGTTTTGTTGCTGCATGAAGATGAGTCAAGTTGTGTCGTGCATGACAATGTTTAGCTAAGATAGTTCCATTGTTTATCTTTTTACCATTCGAAAAAAAGAAAAAGAAAATGTAATGAGGTTGCGGAAGGTATATGCCTAAGTTGACGCGGAATTTATCGTTCGGTGTTGAAGCTCTCCGGACGCCTCCTGCGGAAGTTGTTTTGTTGCTGCATGAAGATGAGTCAAGTTGTGTCATGCATGACAATGTTTAGCTAAGATAGTTCCATTGTTTATCTTTTTACTCGAAAAAAAGAAAAAGAAAATGTAATGAGGTTGCGGAAGGTATATGCCTAAGTTGACGCGGAATTTACCGTTCGGTGTTGAAGCTCTCCGGACGCCTCCTGCGGAAGTTGTTTTGTTGCTGCATGAAGATGAGTCAAGTTGTGTCATGCATGACAATGTTTAGCTAAGATAGTTCCATTGTTTATCTTTTTACCATTCGAAAAAAAGAAAAAGAAAAAGTATAGTTATGTAAGCATTGAATGTAGACACATCCATCACAGATCTCCATTTGCCCCTGAATTTCTTTTATTAAATGGATTGCGTCATAAATATTTTTAATCAGATCAAATAATTCGATTATAAGTCAGTATTTATATATACAACTAAAGTTGAACCTGCTAAAGACATAGGCAGTGTGATTATAGGCCATCCGTTGACCACGTTAACATCAAAGCTTTATGCGCAGCTTTTGCCATATATAGTTGTAGTGGTATTAACACTTTACCTTTGTGTGACTACACACACAACACAACACAACGCATCAATAGATACATAGATAGGTGTGAAACATAATAAGAATGGGAAATTGTACAGCATAGTCCCTCTCTTTTGACTTTTTTCTGAAACCCTGGATTTGGAGGTTGAAATAATTAGGGCTAAGACCTTAAAGGACTCCCCAAACACAGGATTGCAAAATCCAATAAAAAAATCTTAGACATAACACTGTTTGTCTTTGGTGAACTAACTGTTGGGTACAGCCTACACTGGCCAGCTGATTGGAGAGCAAACGACACAAACTGTTCATGTTATGAATCTGAGAGAGCAACTTTCCCATCTTTCTAGGAACAGTGCTGAGATCTATGTCTGGGGTTTTTTCTAGGTTGATAAAAGCTTCGTAATTCTTTAATCTTGTAAAAAATGAATTTAAGTTCATATTTATTTTTCTTAAATTATATATATTTCTGTCGATTAATTAGGTGATAATGACCGAATTGATGTTGATGTATTGTAGTTAGAGGAGAGAAGTTAAAATCATACTTGACTTTCAATCATCAACTTGGTTAACCCACTAATTATATAAAAATATTTTTTATAAATTTTAAATCTAATCTTAATATTACAAAGGAGAAAAGAAAATTCTAAGTAAAATAAAAAGTACTCTAATAGGTTTAAAAGTCATGACCTAACCTACTAAATATACTTACTCCACTAATTACATAAAACTAAAATAAAATGGAAGGTAACCTACCATATATAATTATGATTAACATAAACTACACATTATTTACCTTGATTTTTAGGTCACCAAACATCAGTACTTTCAAGTTGATTTAACAATGATACCATAAAAATCATTCACATTTATTGATATTTAATTTATTAATTAATTTAAATTAAATGTTATAAAAATATATTATAATGATTAAATTTTATTTATTCTATTGATAACGTAAAAATTCGATATTATTTAAAGGATTCGATCCCACCTCTTCTTAAATTCCGTCCTAGGTCGACATCAAACACTAGGAATTCTTGGATGTGTATGGTGAGGTGCTTACAGGACGTCATGATGATAATTTGGTGGTCCTAACCTTATATATTTTTTATGATATAAGTATAACGTAATGGCAATTAGAATATGTATAAACATAGATGATAATAAATTTAAATAATATACATTAATCAGAATAAATCTATAAAGAATTGTAATGAAAATAAAATGTTTAATTTCAAACATTTTTTCTTTGAATAATTTTCGCTTAGAGAAGGAGGAAGGATAATTTTTGCTCCTATTAGATATTGAACTCACAACCTAAAAGAAAGAAAAGTGTTGAGTTTGAATTATAATATTTTAGTATAACAAATAAATATAAAAATACTTTTGAAATTTGTCAAAAATAATTCAAAGTCTACAAAACTTGAAAAATATTTTCTATGTGTTTTTGACTTGATATGCACATTAAAGTATTTTTAGAAACTCAAAATAAGTCAAAATATTCAATTTTTGGTATAATGTTTCGAAACCTCTAGAGAAGTATGCTTAAAATTTAAAAAAATTGTCCGGTTTAGAAACTTCCCTGATTGATTTCGAAACCCTTTACCTGGTTTCTTTTACAACCCCTGTCTGGTATCTAAATCACCCTGCCTGGTTTCTAAACCCCTGCTACAATAGTTTTTCAAAACTATGTGCAGAAAAGCATAAATTGAGAAAAATATATGCTTCCAACGAATATAGTTCATCTCCAACAGTCATAAACTCCATCTTAGCCGGCGAAGCTCATGAACGACGACATATACGTGATGGGAATGATGGTCGAAGATGATCACCAACGGTGTATCTAGGTATTTTGGTGTATTTATGTAATTTAAAAAAAATTAGAGTTTCTTTTAAAAAATAATAATTTTATATTTTTTTAATATTTAATAATATTTTTAATGGTTGTTACTAAGTGTGTAATTAAAGTTACAATGATGCACTTAAACGTGTAACATGAAAAACGTGTAAGGTATAATTCATCGGCACACGACTCTGCTTCACACAAACCGCGGCTAACTCTCGGATTCCTTATTTCATTCATGGCCATATGCGGCAGTCGACTTTCCAGGAAGTTAAAGCTAAAGCCTAAAGCAGCTTCTGACAACGATATGTAACAAGGCGATCACGATGATGCAGAGGAACAAGCAATGCGGCGGAAACTGGAAGGACGCGGAGGACGATTACCGTGTAGGCGGGTTACGGCAGAGGTCAAACCTGATTGGAAATAAGTGTCAGCCGTTTGATTTTTCGGGCGTGATTCATTACGAGAGCAAAGGGAATCAACTCGACGAGTTGCCTGTTCATTCGCTGCGTGTCAGTCCCTTGCCTGGTTACCTCGCTCAGATAAGGCTTTGATTACGTCACCGATCGGAATAATTATAAATTCAGATAGGAAGTTGAATTTTATAATTTTTTAATAAAAATTTAAGTACATTAAAATAACAATAGTAATAAAATTGTCCTAAATAAATGAAAATAACATTAAAATATCTAATTAACTCAACTAAAACATCAAATATTAAATTAAAATATTATAAATATCTAAAAAAACAAATTAAAAAGAAGAAACATAATAACTTAACCAAAATCTAAATTATCTTAAAATCTCTTTGAAATTATTTTATAAACAAAGGAAAAGCAGGCAGCCCAACTCCGTTCCAAAGTTACCCATTGGTCATGCACCGGGAGCAGCATCCTTTACCTTGCTCTGCAAGTAACCACCGTATTCAATAGCATAATCCTTGACATGGCTAGCCGTATCGTAAATCCGGCTCCGGGCGTAGTCGACCCTGTCGGACCCCGGCGGGTGCATGCCTCTGAAGTACCGGAACATCCAACACAACCCCGCCACCGACAAAACCCCGAAGCCGCACGCCGAGAAGAAGCCGGCTGAAACGATCAACAACACGGAGCCTACGGGGAACCATATAGGGCTCGAAATGAGGATCAATGGCATCAACAAGATGAACCCGAGACTGGCGACGGTCACGGTGACGCCGGTGAAGATTAGGAGAATCGAGGCGGTAACAAACAAGGGAAGTTGGGCGGAGTTGGGTGCATGAGCTTGGATTCTTTGTAGGAAAGTTGTGGCGGTGGGGTTCGGTCTAGGTGATCTCCGTTGACGCGGACTGCGCTCAGCCATGGTTAAGAGAGTTAGAGCTCAAGGGGTTTAGGGTAAGGGGAAAAGACTTGAGAAAACAGGGGAATTGGTAAAGGGTTAACGTTAAAGCGATAAAGGTGACGAGAGAGATTAGCGTTTGGTGACAAGTGTCGTGAAATTACAATTTCTGAAGACATGCAAGGGACACACGTGGAGAAGGCTTGGATCTTTTGCAGTCCTAGGGTATGAGACTAATGACCTTTTCTATTTTGAAAGATGTTGAGGACTATTTTAAAAATCTCATCACTATATTTGATAACATTTCTGCTTTGAATACTAAGCTTTAAGAATTTTATAACTTCATCATTGAAACTTTGAATTGTTTCATATTTGATTAGTCGAACGTTAAATTAAAAACAATATGATGATGCAGCCGGTTTTATGTTGACATAGATTGCATTTTATGGAAGTGGACGCCATTTGTTGACCCCATCAAATTTTTTTATTTGATTTCTTCTTTTTCTCACAAAGATTAAGCTTTTAAAATTTCATCATTATATCATATCAGTGTTAGAATTGTTGTTTTTCAATGTTTTTTTAATCACATACGATAGTTATGCATACGTCTCATCGTTCTTTATAACACTATCAATTTAGATTTTTTAAATTTTTTAAAACTTCAACTCAAAACTCAAATGAGAAAGACATTGATCTATAATTTTCGTCATTCAATTAACATGGAATCATGATATATATAGTTTGTTTACTCCTTCTCCACCTTCTCACTATTGAGAGTTGAAAGAAGATACTATGTCGTTGAAAAATCAAAGAAACCCCAAAATCAAAGTTTTTCATTATTAATTATTTAACAGTATAGTGATAAACATGAACTTTTTTTAGTTTTGGTAATTAAATTAAAAATTTAATAATAAAAATAGAAATATGATTAAAGTTGAGTGACAAAATTTATAGCTTACCTATATCTTTTCCCAAGGCTAACATTTGGAAATTCCGAACTACGTACATCAATCAATACATGATTTTCTTGTATCATGCAGACAACACTGAGAAACAAATAATGAAAATTGATAAGTTAATCACAGTAACTTAAACCATTTTTTAGATTCACCTCGTGTTCCACTTTTGCTTTTTAGCAGAAGCAGTTGAGCTATTAGCTATAGTTGCAGAAGTTGCCAAATCCATCAATCTCTCTATATCAGTTGACTTATACTTTAATTTGAGACCTCCCTGGATTCATGACTTGATACATAGGATAAGTTTGTGTGGCATACAGTGTCGCCACTTATCAATGTAATCTTCTTTGCTGCAAAATAGTTCCTTAGGTTTCACCAAAGTCGTTTGGACAGGTAGAAAGTCTATAGGCATGGCAGAGAATCGAGGATAGCGACGATTCCAAAACGTCTGTCTTCGTAGGAGCTGGAGACTTGAAAAGGTACTGAATGAACTCATCGGCGGCATTGCTCATGCTCACTTGTGCATCCACTTGTCATGGATGAAAAATGATTGCTTCTGCAATAATTTCTAATGAAAAGGGCTCGTGCTTCTTCTACATAGCTGACTCTGGGCTCGGGTATGAGTTCGACATTTGGTTCGGGGTGGTGGCTGAGCTGCCTCAATCAAGCCTTGGAAGTTGGAACACTTACAAAAGGCTGACGGTTCCATCTGTCTGAGCTAATGAAAGGTGGCGAGCCTCGGCTCAAATCACACCTTCAAATTTAAAAATTGTATGTACGATTGTAACATAAATAAAGAGATTTCGGTTAATTTTCTTAATTTCAATTAGGCTTTTGATATAATTTTTGAGTGACTAAATATGAATTTTTACCATTCTCGAGGAGCCAAAAGTCACTATCACCATTACATTAAGTAAAAATTTTGTAATTCTAAAAGGGCTATAGCTATAATTTTAATATAATTTATTTCCTTCATAAAACTCAAATCTGAAACATAAATTTTATTTTATTTTTATATCACTAGATGCAATAGACAGTTTATATTGCTTCCTCTTGAGAAGCCTCAAGTACCTAAGCTTCGATTGTATGACATACCTAAATATTTACTGAAGTTTATGATTTCGTGCACTTTATTTTCTTTATTTAATTGGGTTAGTTTATCGTGTGAAAACTGAAACCTTGAGCTGTTTTCTAAACATAATTGGTGATATAACGATATGTATACATATGTTTCTCTCTTTATTTTAGATTAGGACCACGGTATTAATGTAGTAATTGTTGGATAGAAAACAATGATAATAACATGATTTAAATCACTCTTTTACTGCTCCTTCAAGTATTATTAAAAAGTTAGAATCATGATATTATAAATTAAATAATAAAATATTTGATCTAACTTAATTGATTATTAAAAAAATCATTATTCCATTGATCAAAGTATACAACAATTCTGTATGGTGTCAATTTCCACTGTTCATCTCCCTTTTTTTTTGGGGTGGTTTAATATTATGTAAGAAAAAGCCAAATTGTAGAGAATTAGATCACAAACTATGTGCATTTTAGATACAATAATGATCTGAGTTTGAACGTCAATCTCCATTTGAATAACTCTTTTTTTTCCTCGACCTTCTTGTCCTCCAAATAATTGCAGAAGGGCTTGGACAGATTCGATATGGGATTTTTGTAGGAATGTCCGGTACCCTACAACAAATGAGGCGCCTTGGATCAGAGCAAGTCACAGATCTCAAAGAGGACTAACATATCACCCGACTATTAACAATATTATTTGTGTTGGATCGGGACAAGATGGATTTTTATCTCAAAATTTAAAACAGATTAAGGACGGATGGAACATCACCAAACGTCGGGACAAAAAAAATTGACTCGCTACACTCGTACCCATTCCTACCCGACATTATCCCTTTTAGATTACCGGACTGTTGACAAGACAAATCTGAATGCTTGTCAAGATGTCAATGAGTCTCAACCAAATGAAACAACCCGTGTTGGTAGAAAAACTTGTTTCATTGTCCAAAGAAACAATGGAAGAAAAATGGGGTTAACTTTGAAAAGAAAAGAAAAGAAAAACAAATGGTGAGTTTAAAATCTTACTGCAAACCCGAAATTTCAATTTGGGAAAAGTCCAAGGTAGTTGAACCGTCAAGTGGGGGTAACATTTCTCTGGTCTTGCCCCTAAGTGGTGTCAATTCTGGTTGTTTGATGGCAAGTACTCTGCAGCTCAAGCTGTTTGCTATGTTGTCGTAGTGGGCCAATGCCAACCTATTGCCAATCAAAACACTGATTTGAGTCAGTCTTTTGTTTCATGAAATTCATAAACTAATTGCAAACTTTGGATTTGGGATAAAATATAATTAGCAATAGAAAATTGAGGGTAAAATCAAAATGAATTCTTTTTAATATGTTGTAAGAATAAAATATTCCATCTGCACTAGAAAAAATCAAAGTTTGTAGAGCACAAATACAATAAAAAAAATAAAACTTGCAGACAATATTCTATATAAAAAATTAGTAAGCTAATGAGTCTGTGGTCTATGTTCAATATAAGAGCTGCTAGCCCATGATTTCAGAACCACCCCATGCTTTATGGTTCAGGGAACTTTTCATCCATTGCTAACAGACAAGAGGATCAAGGTATCCTAATATCATCCCAACAGTTACTGTCAATATATATATATATATATATATATATATATATATATATATATAGCAAACAAGATGGACCCAAAATTTTCTTTTGTCTGTTTCTTCGCCATTGACACAACCACATGCTTGTCCAACCCGAGTTTAATGAACAGTGCCTCAATCTTTTCACCCTAAAGTGCATCCCCAGGGCCTGTCTCTTTTGACCCTCCTTTTCATTTCTCAAGCATTTTCCTTTAGTAGAATCAATCACTAAGAGGGATCAAGGCTAAGAATTAGTTATATCTAGAGACGGAAATAAGTCAAACATTAGATAGAAGAGATTAATTTATTTTATAATAAAAGAATCCAGTTCTCTTAAATATTTAGATTAAAAAAGACCTAAAATATTATTAAAAATTAGGAGGAACTGTTATCTCCTAAATGACTTCTTTCTTGATTTCATCCTTGTTTTATCCTTACAAATTTAAGAGATAAATTATATAAAATTTAGACTGTAATTTATAATTTTAACAAGGCAATAATTTTATCACTATAACGGTCATCTTGTCGATATTTCTAAAAAATTATCAACATTATCAATAGCCTCACTTGAAAATTACCAACCTAATACCTGATGACAGTTTTGAACCTTCCTATAAACCTCCATTTAACCCCAGCAGGTCCTATTAAAAAAAAACACTACCCAGGAATTGTAACCTCTAAAAGCAATGATTAAACAATAATTAACATAAGAAGCCGAGTTCACTCACTTGTAAAGAAAGCTCTGACGATGAAGGCCGACGACGAGAGAAGAGGCACCAATCTCTCGCACCATGGCTACGATCTTCCTGCCTTCCTGGTCCCCTTCCGTCACAATCATCTCAATATTTGTCTGTTTAACAAAATTCTCCCAATATCATAAAAGAATAAAAAGTCTCGTAATCGGTGATTACAGGGAACTGAGTTGACTCACTCACGTTAAAGAAATTGGAGTTGCATATCTCCTTGAAGGAGAGAGCCAACTGATAGCCTTTCAATCGAAGCATCCTCGCTTTCTTTTTGCTCATTGATTTCGTGGCCGAGAAGACGTGGAGGAGAGTCAGCAAGTCGCCGTATCGGAGCAAATTGTGTAGACTCCATCGAAGAGCTGTTCTCGATACTTCTATGTCTTCGACCACAACTACTATTTTCCTCACATCCATGGCGTTTTCTCTCTCTCTAGGATCTTAGAGAGAGAGAGAATCAACACCTTTCCTGAGATGGATTTGTGTGTCAAAAAGCTAAGACTCTATGGGATTTTGAGCTTCGGGTCCTTTTTTGACAAACATTGGGATTTGATTAAGCAAAAATGTTGCTGGCTTTCTGCGGGCTTTTTGGTATATATATATATATATATATATGCAAAATCAACGAGATAATGCGTTGAAATTTTTTTTTTCACGAGATAGTGCCCTCGCCAGATTAATTGCTCAGATGGAGTGATCTCTACAGTCCCCATATAGGTCGCCAGGTGCTCTGGGCGACGTCCTTATTTGATGGGGTAGGTCGCCATGTAATCCCCAAAGGTCGCCATGCAGTCCATGCATCTGGATCATCGTCATCAAGGTCTTATAACCTGTAGTTTTCCCTAAGAGTTTTACTATGACTGAGTTTTGCATACTTTGATAAATGGTTTCGTGCATACGTTTAGAAAATTGGATTTTGATCAATTACCACCTAGTCCTCCAGAAGAACGATATCATCATCTTCAAGCATTCCTAATCTCGATTGCGCACTTTTTCTTGCTCCACCCACTATGTCGGCGTAAGTTCTCTCTCCCTCATGAATTTCTAGTTTGTTTAGGGTTATGATCTCGTTCACTTTTCCAACTCTTCCTACTTCAGAATCCTCCATGAAAATATCATCAGGTGCATTAGGTGTCAAAATAACTAGGTCTTTTCCTAGCAATTCTTCAGTTTTCTGTCCCCCCCTCCCCAGCAAGTTTTGGGTTGAACTTCGCAGTCTCGGGTTCGTTTCTTCTTATTGTTGCTTCCTTAATCGGGCTTGGTCTGTATCGTCGGGTGGTTTGTCACCATGCTTCCCGATAGAAAGCACTCATTGGCTATATTGTTAGGGTTTTCCATCGAGAGAGTTTTTCTCGCGTTGTTTTTTATTAGCTACCATTGGCCATTAGACATTAATAGCCATTGGCAAAGGAACCTTTTGTTTTGTTACTTTAAGGGTGGCAAAGAGGAAGGGAATCTCAGCAGGGCTAAAAAGCTGGAAAAAAAAAGATGCAGCGCAACACTACAAAAAAATATGTAGATAAAGGCCCGATAAGATGCTCCATGCCTCATATATATATTTAAAATTATATATTTGCCAAGCATGGACTGCATGGCGACCTTTGGAGATTGCATGGCGACCTACCTAGGTCGCTGGGCGTGCATGGCGACCTGGTAGGTCGCTGGGCGTGCATGGCGACCTACCCCAGGACGTCGCCCGGAGCACCTGGCGACCTATATGGGGACTGTAGAGATTACCCCATCTGAGCAATTAATCTGGCGAGGGCACTATCTCGTGAAAAAAAAAATTCAACGCATTATCTCGTTGATTTTGCCTATATATATATATATAGAGAGAGAGGTTAAATTGACGGGATAATGTTGTGAGAAAAAAAATTCATGAGATAATGCGTTCTAACAATTAATTGCTGAGATAGGGTGTTTGCTACAGTTCGAATGTAGGTCGCCAGGTGATCTGGACGACCAAGGAGGTCGCCATGCCGTCCCTGCGTCCCACCAAGAAGGTCGCCATGTATGCTGGCGCCATGCAGTGAAAGTTGAAATGTAGTGTTATCTCTTCCTAGTCAAACACTAATTGTTTGGGTTAAATGCAAATTTGATCCTCATAACATTGCACTCTCGTATGCATGTTTTAATATTTAGGGGATAATAGCATTTTCGGTCCCCTATGCTTTGTAATGTCTTTGTTTAATCATTTAGTGACATTTTTAATGTTTTGTTTCAATCATGTATATTTTAATAATTATATTTTAGTCACTAGTTGTTCATTCTGTCAAGTTTGTGTATGCTTCATTTTGATCATAATATTTTTAGTTATTTCATTTTAATCACTGATTTCATTTGTTTTATATATTTTCCTTAATTTTTGAAATTGGCCATGAAATTTGTAAACATGTTATTTTAGCCACTGTTTAGTATTTATGTTTATTATAATTTAGTCATATATGTTTCTTGTTTATCCTATTTTAGTATGTATTTATTTTAAAATTGATTATTGGGATCTTTGGTTTAGGGTTTTGTCATAATGAAACCAATTTTGTCATATTTTACCTGTTATATTGTTATGTATATGTCATAACCATTTTTAGGTGAAACAATTATTTATTGTTTTAAAAACATTTATGATTTTAATCTTGAAAAAAATGATGTTTTGAAATTAAATTGGATAGAGTCGCCATCAACCTTTGGGTTAGGAAATTTCATGTTTTAAAAACATGTTTACAAATTTCATGGCCAATTTCAAAGATTAAGGAAAATATATAAAACACATGAAATCAATGATTAAAATGAAATAACTAAAAATATTATGATCAAAATGAAGCATACACAAACTTGACAGAATAAACAACTAGTGACTAAAATATAATTATTAAAATATACATGCCTGAAACAAAACATTAAAAATGTCACTAAATGATTAAACAAAGACATTACAAAGCATAGGGGACCGAAAATGTTATTATCCCCTAAATATTAAAACATGCATATGAGAGTGCAAAGTTATGAGGACCAAATTTGCATTTAACCCAAACAACTAGTGTTTGACTAGGAAGAGATAACACTACATTTCAACTTTCACTGCATGGCGCCCAGCATACATGGCGACCTTCTTGGTGGGACGCAGGGACAACATGGCGACCTCCTTGGTCGCCCAGATCACCTGGCGACCTACATTCGAACTGTAGCAAACACCCTATCTCAACAATTAATTGTTGGAACGCATTATCTCGTGAATTTTTTTTTCTCACAACATTATCCCGTCAATTTAGCCTATATATATATATATATATATATATCAGATAAAGTACATTAAATGTTATTAAATTATAGATTTAAATATATAAAGTTATCTAATCTATGTCTGTTTTTTCAGTTTCGTGTCTAACATTTTATTTTGTTACTCAGAATGGGTTAAGCTGTGTCGAACTGTTAATTTTATTCGTTAAGTAACACGTGTCACACTGATAATTTTAAAACTTTTATATAAAATTAAAAAAATAAAATTATATATTTAAAAAAAACATAAATTTCAAAATAATCCCAAAACTTTGAAAACTTTCATTTAATCCCTAAACCCACCCCAATCGTCGCTCTTTGCCATCGACAAAGCTCCACCTGACCTCACCTCACCTCACCTCGGCGACCAAAAGTCCCATGAAATTGTGACTGATCAATGGTCGATCGACAACGAATCGACGTTTTATACCCTAGGATGAAAATCATAATCCCAAGCGATTTCGACAGCCAATTGACGACGACTTATAACTAGGATGACGACAAGGACTACGTTGGCGGCGGTGGTCATGGCCGGAAAGGGTGGCAACAAGGTGTTAGTGTTAGGATTTGGGGATTTTGAGGTTTTTTTTTAATTTAAAATAAATAAGAGTTTTGTTATAAATATAATAATATTTTTAATATATTTAAAAAAATCAAAAATCATGAGATTGTGATACGTGTCTCTTAACGGATAAAACTAACGGTTCGTCACGGCTTGACCCATTTTGAGTAATGGAATGAAATGTTAGGCACCAAATTGGAGCAAAATAAATGTTCGGCAGTAAACTAAAAAAACGGGCATAGGTTGGACACCTTTTGTATATTGAAGCCTAAATTATATAAAAAAAAAATATTTTTATCAACTATCTATTAAATATTATAAAATGATCATTTAATTTTTTAAATCATTACAAAATAATATCTTACAATGTTATAATATCAACAAATTTCAATGAATTCAAGGGAAAATTTATAATTGTTCGATAAGTTTAAATATGATTTTACAATAATTCAGTAAATTTTAATGATCAATTTGTAATTGTTTGATAAATTTATTAGCCATTTAGTAACATTTGAAAGGTCAGTGATAAAAATAGGTCATTTTTACATAGTTACGTGACTATTAGTGTACTTTTCCCACATATATCGTTTGGTACTTCAATTTGATGTTTTATTCAAAATGGTATCCAAATTTAGTTTCTTAATTCAAATTGGTTAAGCAACAATGAGTAGCAAACTGGAATAAAAAGAAAAGGCAATACCAAGTAGTAATTTGAACAAATAAGACAAATTCATCTATCTATCTAATTGGATCAAAAGAAAGTTTAGGTCTCATATTAAATATTAAAACTAAATTTAAGTACCTAATAAAGATAAATAAACGTTTTAGTGTCAAATTGAAGCATTTAAATAAAGCTCCCATACCAAAAGCTAAATATCTCTTTTATATTTGTTCTTTGTAACGTTTGATGGGGTGGGTTACCTTAAGAGGGCGTTTGGATGGAGGATTTTAACATTACTGGTGGGAATATTTTTTTCCTACTTGTGATTTTCATGTTTGGATAAACAATATTCCTAATAGGGGGTAATAAAATATTACCAACAGTAGCTTTTTTTCAAATATAATCGGGAATCCTAATCTCATGGTGAGCTTAGATATTTTTTGTTTCCCTTCAACTTGGACTAAAATGTCCTTGTCCTAAAAGATTTATTTCAAAAATACCCTTACTTTTATTTCAAAAGCTATAGTATATTATCATAAATTTATTATAATAACTTTATTTCAAACTATTCCCAACCAGGAATTTTATTTATTTATTTATTTATTATCATAAATTTTTAAATATTAATTAAAAGAATATATGATATATTTACTCTTTTAATCTACACATTTATCTTTTAAATTTTGTAAAAAAATATAAATTTTATAAATTTAAAATTTAATAAAAAATATATATAAATTGAAAATAATACAATAATATATTTTCTATGAAATTTTATATAAATATTTTCATTTGAATATTTGGAATTCAACTTGTTAAAAAAATATCATAAGGATAATTTAGTAAAATATGCATTTCAGTAATCTTTTATTCCTTTCACTGTAATCATACATTCTTGTCAAACAAACCAAACACAATAATGTAACATTCCCAATAATGTGTAAGGTAATGTAACATTCCCAGTAATGTGTAAGGTAATATTTCATTTCGGTAATCTTATTACCGGAGGTAACGTTACATTCCATGAACCAAACGTAT